TGCTCTGAACTTTGTTCACGCTTATTTATTGTTTATTTTCCACTTATGACATCCTTATGCTTTTTTTTTTATTCTCCATCTTGAAACTATTTATCTATTTTGAAATATAAAGTTCCTATTAAGAGCCTTGAGGATCTTGGATCCATGATTGAGCATGACTGAGGATTGCTTTGAAATAAACTGAATCTAGTATTGTTATATTATTTGTTACCAACTATGTCAATTAGATACATAGGAGACTTTTTATGACCATGTTAGGGGTATAATCCTTTTCTAACACATTTGTGCATAAGAGGTAAGCAGGACTCTTTTTATAACCATGATATATTGTATTGTTGCCAGATTGCTTTATCTTTTTATATCATGTTTATATGACAGTGAAAAAGAAATTTAGAGTAATTTTTATAACCCATTTTCTTTAATTATCATGGTAATGGTGTTGGTATTCCTTGTTTGTGTTAAGTTTGGCAAGTTTCTAGTTAGGTTGTTACATCTTCACTTCATATTCTTCACTTAGTTGAGCTTGAACCTTCTTTGTTTCTTCTTTTAATTGCTAGTCGAGCTCTTCTTTAGACACTAGGCCTGTGGAGGATGCATTGGTGCTTTGCAAAGCATGACCAAAGACCTATTTAATATCCCTTTTAGGAGCTCCTCTAATTAGATTGAGGTGGTTAGGCCTTCCAATAGTAGTTGCCGAGATATCCATTCGTCCATAAGGAACAAATTATTAGGATTCTTGCTCTTTAAGTGTATCTTCTAACATATAAGTAATCAATTTAAGATAATTGAAAATCACATAATCATATATAATGTTTTATATCTAATTTAATTATTCACAATCCTCTCAACTACTAGCCCTTCTTAATCTTTGTAGCCTTCTATTTTTTTTTTGACGAGATGGATTGGATAGGTGGAATGACTCAAGTAATGTCCAGTGCAGCAGCTTGTTGTGCAGCCTTCAACTGCCCATGATCATTGCACCCCACCCGAGACATGAGATATGGGCATACAATTTGCTCAGATATCTACTTGTTCTTCTTACTTAGTTCCCATGAAAATGAAACAAATTTAGTTTAGTTAATTAAAATATCAATTCATTAATAACTATGTTCATATCTCCTAAATATTTGACTGGCTATTGTTTAAGCACTTCACATAAGAATAACAATATAACCCATCACTTTTAATAGATGCATTTTTCTAAGCAAATTCTAGAAACCTTTCAATCCTATCCTTATATTCTTTATTAATTCTATTGCCTATATGCAACTATGATCCATTGTTCTATATAGTCAATGAGCATAGTTGTCAAACTCAATTCTAGCTACTTAATTCAAATATTATTTTATTTGAATCAAATAAATCAAATAATTAAGTATTGGTACATAAATAGACTTGACTAATACTTAATTATAAAATAAATGGGATGCCTTTTTATTTCAAAATAATTTTGACAGATTTTTCCCTTCAATATAAGGAATCCAAAAATTTCAAAACAATCAATTGTACAATCAATAGCAAAAAACAACAAATAAATTTTAATAATTGAAAGCTAAATGCATATTGATCATACAAAACTCTAAGCTAACAAACCCTATTCCACAACGTTTTCAAAAATCTCCTTTTAGAGTAAAAGTTCTGAGTTCAAAACAAAAGCTCAAATAAATTCGGTTATCTATGAAACTTGACGTGCAAATTTCTTTTTAACCAAAGCTTTTACATCGTTTACTACGCTACTTTAAATGTATGATTTATTTGTTGTAAATACCTCTAGTAGTGTAATACATGATTTAAAACATGACCCCTCTTGTAATTTTTAATTTGTTGAAATTGTAAAAAAGTTGTTGTAAATGGCATTGATAAAGTGGTGAAATTCGATAAAAGTGGTGTAAATTAGTAATGAAGCAAATGATTTTTAACAGAGTAATTTACTTTGATTTTTCACAAGTGTTGAAGCGGTAAAAAAGTTTTAAATGGCATTGATCAACGTAAAAAAGTTGTGAATGTTGCTAGTGGTGTAATAAATAATTTTTAACAAGGCCTTTGACTTTGATAATTATTCTATATAATATTTTGCATTATATTAATAAAGAGGTTTATTAGCTCAATGGTCATTAAGTGCTTTGGGGTCAAAGGGGTAATCCCACGTGGCCTGGACAATCTTGGCAAACAAAAAAAATAGTTGCTAGAACTCAGGTGGCCGATTGATGGCAAAGTTGCCAATAATATTGTAAAAATCACCAACATTTCAAAATTTTATTTTGGTCATGAATATTGATTCGGAACTTTAAAAATTGGTGTCACAAATTTGGAATTTGAAATTTCAAATGGTATTTATTTGCCCTTTTCCTTTTGTAATATGGAAAACTCTTAATTGTTTTTCTTATAGTTAGTCTTGTTGTAAAATGAGAAACATTTTGTTATTTTACCAGCATAAAACAACGCAGTTTTATTTTTGTTAATAATTTTTAAAAAATTAAAAAAATCCTGCAAGAACCATATGCAAAATACGAATTAAAAAGCAAAATTCTAGCAAAAAGTCATTTGTCCAGAAATCAAATGGAGAAGAACCTCAGCAATAAAAAGAAAATTCAAAATAGCAACTTAGAAAATCAGACTTGACACATATCTACCGGTACAGGAAAAAAAAACATAAAGGTCCCATTTAGTACGAAACATTGAAAGTAAGGAATAGGGATTGTAATTGCAATTGAGAAAAATCATTAAAATAGTATTTATTATGGGTAATTGCTTGTTACATGGGATTAGGTAAACCTATAGAGGTGAGATTAGGGAATATTACTTTTCCTCATGGTATTTCCCAATCTCACATATATGGATCTGACTAATCCCATATAACAAGTAATCTCTTATGTTAGACACTCTTTTAATAGGTATTCTCAATCACAATTCCAATTCTAATCTCCGGACCTAATTTTCAATGCTTCCTACCAAACAGAACCGAAAAGATAGCATAGAGAAGCGCACTGCATTCCTACGACAGCCATACGCAACATCCAGGATCAGCATAACTTATTTTAAGTTTGTTCATAACACCCGGAATCCCAAGTGAGCCCACGACTTAAAAATTGCAATTATGGTTAGTGGGTAGTTTGTGATGAATAATTTTTTGGCATCAAGCTTACGATGAATAATAATTTTATGGAAATTTAACAATTCAATTGAGAATGATCACTCCTTCAAAGTAATATTTAATTTGGCTCACCAACCATGTTCTATGAGATTCCCTCATATATTGCCACACACATCTATACTGGAAGAAAAATGCACTCAGCTATACTAGATTATGTGTTAGTTGTGCCTTGTAACTTAATTACATAAAAGTTTGCTTACAACTAGAAGTAAGGTGTTGTGATGAGTTTGATTTTGCTTATAATTTCAAGCTATTAATGTCTATTTCCTGAAATTTGAAAAAAAAAAAAAGGGAAAAAATATACCATGTGAACATAGCAAGATGAGGACAAGTCCAAACTATAAGGTGATGCAAACCAAATTCTCTGAAGGTGTTCTTTTTGAACACATAGTATTTTTGTAAAGCAAATTGGTATTGAGTTTGATGTTTACAATAAAAAAAGAAAACTCAAATCACTGGGATGATCAAAGTTCAGCCTCTAATGATTATTAGGTAATGGAACTTTAACAATGTGACCAATGTGTGAGAAAGTAATTAATATTATCATTACAACCCACTTTCTATGATTTCCCCGTTAACAGTAATATACCACTCCCATCCTAAATATGAGTTATTTATAAAGAAAAGTTTTGATCCCAAACGTAAATCACTCGTAGTATACTTGATGTTTGTTTTCTAATTTTACTTTTATTTAACTCTTATTGGAAAGAGGAAAAAGGATGGAGAAGTTAATATAAAAATGATTGGTAAACGTAGAGAGAGGAGAAAAAAACTTTAAAGCTAAAATATACGTCAAATCCGATTTTAGGATTGAAAAGCTAAAAATATATTTTTTTAACGTTAACAGAATAAATTAAAATCTTATATAAAATTAAGTGATCAAATATATACTTTAGCCAAACTTTAATGATGGTATAAAATTGAAAAATAAACCTTTAATAAGAGACCAAATTAAATTTTTTTATTGGAGACAATCTTATTTAAAGTACTGTTAGATACTAAATATAGATAATTTTTTTAATAAGAATTCAAATCTTAATTCGTTAGGCTGTGAGTAACTAATTTTTTTAAAATTAAACTGAGTCTTAGTGGCCGGTGACAACTTTAATATATGTGCGCGTGCGCGCCCGCATGATATGGACACTTCACTTTCGAGCCCACTAGCTGGAAGGGCGGAGAGAGAATATGGAAAACAAATGCGGAGCAGTGAAGCAGCACCCATCTCAAATGATCACTCTCTCCAATCTTGCTGTACTGTTTTGTTGTTTTCCCGTTTTCCCTTTTCTGGACGCCTCTTGTAATTATTGACATCAGTAAATTCTCTTCCTCCTCAAAAAAAATGAAGCATTCTTTAATGACCCACATGGGTTTTGTTTCATCGTACGGGGCATTTCACCTCTGTTGTCGGTAAAGAACACTTTCTGCGGCAATTTTTTTTTTGCTTATTTTAATTTTTTATTACTATTATATATATTTGATTTTAAAATAATTATTATCAAATTTATTCCGGTTCAATAACAAGAAGAGAACTACAAACGAAGAAGTTCAGGAGTTGGAATCATAAAAAGTCATATTTAAGGTAAAAATATCTGGTAGCGGATGTGGCAACACCTGATGGCTGGCGGTGGTCAGCAGCTAGCGGAAGTCACAGCGGAAGGTCCTTTTTTTCACTGTATATTTCTAACTAATACATTTTGTTAGTAAAAATATTTTGAAAAAAACAATGTCTATTTATATTAATATTAAGTAAGGACCGGAGGTCGTACAGTATCAGAGATATAAAAATTTATGTAATCATAAGCAGAAATAAAAGGCAGAAGAAGGGGGGTGAAGAAGACGATCTTTCCTGGATGAAAAGGACAACAGGTTTTCTTCATGGAATCATCCAAAATAACAAATCTGGCCTCACCAAAGCAACCTTCTTCTCATCAATGTCTAAAGATGTTTTGGGCGTTTTGCTGCTCATTTCTAGCTTCTATCTATATTCTGGTTCTTGTATAGATTTCACTGCCTCGTTTCAATTTGTCAGAGACCCTGATACTATCAGCTCAGGAAGCTTCAAACTTGGGTTCTTTAGCCCGGGAAATTCAACCAAGCGCTATGTTGGAATTTGGTATCTATCTGAAACCACAGTCGTATGGGTGGCTAACAGAAACAGCCCTCTCAGAGATTCGTCTGGGGTTTTCACAATTTCTAAAGATGGCAACCTTGTGGTGTTGAATGACCAAAATCTCACACTTTGGTCATCTAATGTGTCAAACATTCCTCCCAATTCATCAATGATGGCTCTGCTTCTAGATACTGGGAACCTTGTTCTGAAAGATAACACCACAGGACAAACACTATGGGACAGTTTTCAGCATCCTTCTGATTCATTCTTTCCAAAAATGAAACTTGGTATAAGCCGAGGAACAGGTGAAAAACCAAAGCTTACGTCTTGGACATCCCCTTCTGATCCATCCATAGGAAGCTTCTCAGCAAGTCTTGAACGCTTGGATGCTCCTGAAGTTGTAGTCTACAATGGATCTAAACCATATTGGCGTTCTGGTCCATGGAATGGACAGGAATTTCTAGGAGTGAAGGCTTCTTCATATCTCGACGGATTCAGTCTAAAAGAATACAATGATACATATTACATCTCCTTTGATCTGGCAAACCCATCTTATTTCGGAGTTTTTAAGTTGAATTCAACAGGAAACTTGGTTGTAACGGGATGGATCAACAAACAGGAAGCTGGAAGATGGAGGATTCAACATAATGAATGCGATATTTATGGTCAATGTGGAGCATTTGCCTTCTGTAATTCCCAGAGTACTCCAGTTTGTAGCTGTTTAGATGGGTTTGAACCGAAGAATCCAGATGAATGGAATAAGCAAAACTGGACAAATGGTTGTATAAGAAAAGCACCATTGCTGTGTGACAAGAGGATAAAAAATGGAATTGAAGATGCGTTCAAGAAAATAGAGAACATGAAAACACCAGATTTTGTAGAGAGATTATTGCAGGTTCCTGAAGAAAATTGCAGTAGGCAATGCTTACAAAATTGCTCGTGTTTGGCTTATGCATATGATGCTGCCATAGGATGCATGTCTTGGAGTGGTAAATTAATTGACATTCGAACAATCGCTTCTGGAGGTGTTGATCTCTACATTCGTCTAGCAAATTCAGAACTCAGTAAGTTTTGTAATTATATTCTCACAGTTCTCACAGTTCTCCCCTCACTTTCCAAGCTCCTATCAATCTGATAAACTAACTTGTTTTATTCATATTAATGCAGAAAAACATGAAGAAAATGTAGGTGAACGAAAGAACAAGCGGAAGGTAACAGTGATTGCTATTACTGTGACAGTTGGAGCCACTATTTTTGGTGCATGTTCGTATTTTTTGTGGACAATAATTGTTGCCAGATCAAAAGGTACGCGTGCACTATATATTCTGGCCACTTATATTACAGTGTTGCACACTAAATCATAATATTAATTTCTCTGGTATTCAGAGGGGTCCACAAATAAAGATGAGTGGAGTTTATTCAGATTAATACGTTGTTTAGTACAGGAAAAAAGAATCAAAATGGTCTGAGTGAAAGCATGAAAAGAGCGTCAAGACAAGGAAAACTAGAGGAGCTTCCACTGTTTGAGTTTGAAAAGGTTGCAATTGCAACAAACAATTTTCACCAATCTAACAGGCTTGGTCAGGGAGGTTTTGGTCCTGTGTACAAGGTAAAATTGGTTCAAATAAATTCACTAATTTATATAATTTATTATAGTTTCTTTTTTAATTTTATCCACTTTCTTCTAGGGAGAATTGCAAGATTCACAAGTCATAGCCGTTAAAAGACTTTCAAGAGGCTCTGGACAGGGTCTTGAAGAATTTATGAATGAAGTGAGGGTGATATCTAAACTTCAGCATCGCAATCTTGTAAGACTTCTTGGTTGTTGTATTGAAGGAGATGAAAGGATGTTGGTATATGAGTACATGCCAAACAAAAGTTTGGATGCATTGCTCTTTGGTTAGTTCTTTTATTATCCATTTTCTTACCAAATTGGATGTTTCACTTTTATGGTTTTTAGATATACGTAAATATGATTTTGGTTTTCGTCACTTCATCCAGTTTTCTTCCTTTCGTCCTCTTTAGGTTCAAGGAGAGATTTATTCTTAGATTGGAAAAAACGCTATAATATAATGGAAGGAATTGCTCGTGGACTACTTTATCTTCATAGAGATTCAAGATTAAAAATTATACACAGAGATCTTAAGGCGAGCAACATCTTGTTAGATGAAGAGTTAAATCCAAAAATATCAGACTTTGGTTTGGCAAAGATTTTTAAAGGCGATGAGAATGATCAAGGAAACACCAGAAGGGTTATTGGAACATAGTATGTTTCCCAGTTATATCATATTTTTATTGATGATATTTTATTTGATTATTCACTAATATAGTAAAGCTGATATACAAATTGGTTTTGGAAATATAGTGGGTACATGTCTCCTGAATATGCAATGCAAGGACTATTTTCAGAGAAATCAGATGTATTTAGTTTTGGGGTGCTGTTATTAGAAATTGTTGCTGGAAAGAAAAACACTAGCTTCTATCATGAGGAGATGCCCTTAAGCCTATTGGGATTTGTAAGACTCATTCTCATGCGATTTTAATTTTCAAGTCTTGTGGGTGGTGTCTATATTTAACTATTATACCCTTGCTTTCATATTTGTAGGCATGGAAACTACGGGTTGAAGATAATATTAAATCCCTAATAGACCGAGATATATATGATCCAAGCTTTCATGTGGAGATCTTGAGATGCATACATATTGGACTTCTATGCGTGCAAGAAGCTGCCAAAGATAGACCAAATATGTCCACTGTATATTCAATGCTTAATAGTGAGATTGTCAATCTTCCTTCACCAACACAACCTGCTTTCACCAAGAGTCAATATACTGTGAGTGCAGAATCGTCTCAACAAAGTGATCCTACTTACTCCATATGTAACACTGTGACGATCACAGAAGTACAAGGAAGATGAACTTCTAGCTCCCTAAAGTCATAAAAACATATGTTAGAGTTCACACCTGTCCCGACCAAAGGTTAAGGAAGTTGGTGTCTTGATGACAGGGAAGCCGGTGATCAAAGTCTCACTGAACAACAGCTATGATTATATCAGTCTTAAGATTTTAAGATAGCAAAATTTCTCGCTATTCATCCAGTACGTTTTTTACTAGGATGTATTTGTTTTGACTATATTACTACTTCGGTTTATAAACTTTCGGTCGAATCTAGCGAAATTAAGATAGGTTAAATTCTTAAGCACCATATGGGTGCGGCTTAAATTGATGACTCTTAAATTAATGTCATATAGATTATTTTAGGGAAATTTAACCTTTTATCTAGAGGACCTCTTTCTAACCCTATATAGTATTGTTAAAATAGTAAAGATGTTTTCTTAGATAAAATATTTTATTATTAATAAAAACAAATATGTCCTCTAATTACAATAGATGATGGTAGTAGTTGGGATGGATGGTGCGCATAATGGGCTACAGTTACAAGCGTGCGTATCAGATCAGATCATTTCTAATTTTTTTCCCTTCAGAAAAATTTGTAAGGTGATAATAGTCTGCTCTTTAATTTTTCAATTTGAGGGTCACGTTCAAATAAAAATTGAAATAAAATACTTGTGTTTATTTTAAGTTAAATTAGAAAACGCAGAATTTTTTTGACTATCTCAAAGCCGACTTTGCTGACGAGAACCTCAATAAGAAATGTACATCTTTGGTCAGAATCTCCCTTCAGTGGGAATTAGTTGGGCAGAACTATTAGTTATGAAGTCTTAAAAACATAATGTAATCATTAAAAGTCCTCATAACAGCAGAATGAACATGTTATTTCTTATACTAAAATTTGTTATTACATTCTATGTTGCTGTAGGACTTTTTAGTTATTGCATTTTTTTTTTTAGCCTGAGACTTATGATAATTCTCCCAATTAATTTTCCTTTGTTATGTGAGCACAAAGTCATCTTGATAAAGAATGATGGAACCTCGTGTATGTGTTTTATTACACAATCTAAAATCTATTTTTTCTCTACTGTCATTATTATATATTCTAATTACAGTCAGATTACTGATTTTTCTTTATTTTTGTACTATTACTGGCTCCCATCTTTAATGTACAAGCTAAATAAGTAATTTGGAGATATTAAAAAAATATGTTAAATTAATTATTTATAATAAATGTGTGCTTATATTTTTAAACTATCCTGCTTAATCATATGCATGGGACATATCCCTTGGTGTGAACTCCAATATTTTGGAAAAAAATTATAAATTTAGGAGATAAGGTGGATTAAAGTCTTGTATTACTTTCAGTCCTTATATAAGATGCAGTTGACAAATTTGGATAGATTAAAAATGTCATTAAATTGCTTTAAAGTATTTATATTTATCATTTTTTTAAAACTAATTTGTCTAAGTTATAAATTAATATATAATCTAATGACACATATAAGTATTTTAGAAAGATCATATAACATATGCTATAATTAAGTAATTTGGTAACTTCATTAATTTCCTCGAATTAGTTAATTAGGTCTTATATTAAGAATTGGAGGTAGTACAGAGGACCAAATCCAACCCCGACTAACTTTTATATTAATGATTAGACATAGTATTTTTTTTTTTTTGGTGAATTAGACATAGTATATTGTAACTAAGGCTGCAATGCTTTTTTAATTTGTTAAAAAAATTAAACAACATGCAATACATGATTGTAACTGAGATTTAAAAAAATATGAAAATATATTTTTAAAATTTAAATATTTATTTTTGAATTTTTAATTTCACAATATGTTTTAACATTTTATTTATGTAGTTTTCAAATTAATTTTATTTTTTAAATAATTTATAAAGACATAGAGTGCATGAGACAATAAATTACAGGATAAAAATATAAATACACCGGTAGACTCATACCAAACACAATATAATTTGCTTAGGTGCAAAATTACCACTAAAATTTTAAATGAGAGCAAAAATAACCATGTTGTTAATAAGAGCATATGTTTGTTACTTTTTATGGTGGTACATGTGTCCACTGCTGCTTATTTTGACCACGGGGGACGTGGCACTTGGACTAACTGAGAAAAAAAATTATAAATGATAAATCAAGAAAAAAAGAAATATGTAATATAAATGTAAATCCCCAAAATAACCCTGGTACCAAACGCGTGGATCGATCGTAAGTTTGCAACCTCATCGCCATCAATAACCTTGAAACCAGTTGTGCAGAGCAATCATAAATGCCATCAACTCTCGCGTGGCAACCTGTGCCTGTCATTTGTCGTCATCTTGCCACTGCTTCGCCGTAGACCGTAGTCCCGCTGCTGCCTTGCCATCAATCCTTCTATAGTCTGGGCGTAGAAATCATGAGTGGAGAGGAGAAAAATCCATCCTCGTTAACGTTGGAGGAAACATACACACTAAACCGGAGTAGAAAGAAGGCCTTGTTTGGTATAAAGTATTAAAAATAAGATATAAGAATCGTGACTGAGATTAAAAAATATATTAAAAGAGTTTTTAATATTGATTATTTGTTATTTAGGATTAGGTAAATCCATATATGGAAATGTTATAAAAGAGGTGGATGGGATTACTTAATCTCATATAATAAAAAATTACTCATACAAAATACTCTTTAATAATTTTTCTCAATCTGGCCCTTATCTTTATCATTCATTTTCAATGTTTAATATAAAACGGGACTTAAATTTTCTACTGATCAATTGTTGGTACCACGTGAGAAGGATTAGGTATATGGTGGAACAAGATGCTGATAAAGGGATCAATAACGGGATTCCGATGAATGAGTGGTGAGTAGTATATGCTTCAAGCCAAGTGCTGCTCATTATTTTTCTGATTATTTAATTATTAGTCTGAAAAGGTCAAGTCACTAATCTCATATTCCCATGTAATCCGATTCATCATATTCCCCACTTTCTCACTTTCATTTATTTATTTATTATTATATTCAGTTTTTCTGCAACTTCTTGCGGTTTCCAAATATACTTTTAGCGTTTTAATTTTACACAAGGTTTTATTTTAGTCTTTTAACTTTATAAAGTATACTTTTAGTCCTCTAATCTAAAAATTGTTGACAAAAAACGATGATATTAAGCTTTTGAATGCTGATAAAACATTACTAAATACTAACATATTAAGTTTAATATTCAAAACAATTATAATTGAGATAAAAAATCACTATTTAAGACTAACAATTTTAAAATTAAAAAAACTAAAAGTATACTTTTTTAAAGTTAAGAGACCAAATTAAAACTTTATATAAAGTTAAAGGACTAAATGTATACTTTAGTCTTTATTATTTCATTTCTCTAACAATGAGAAGGAGACCTTGCTACGCTCGGTTGTTTCATTGGAACATGACTACATTCACCCCCGATTCTGCTTCATTGAAGTCCGTTGAAGTGTTAGAGGCTGCAATGAACCTATTCGAACCAGATTAAGTTCACTGCTGGATGCTTCACCAAGGAAAAGACCATGGTTTTCTTCCCCATTCTTCATCTAGATTAAAAAAAAAAATTCCCGATTAATACTTTAATAATGAATTATTGTTCCTTTTCCGGATCACCACTAGGAATTCCCAATTTTAAGTGCTTCAGTTCATTTCTTGATTTTTCTTTATATGGGTTCTTCAATCAGCAAGCATAGGTGCTCCGACGAGGGTAGAGTGAACGAAAGAGGAAGTGAAGGGACGAGGCTAATTCTTCTATGTACCGCGAGCTAGGATTTATGTCAACAATTTTAGGCAATTGCCCTTTCTCTAGCAATTAAAAAAAAAAAACAGAAGTGTCATTTTAGTTTTGATTTTAAAGTTTATGGGTAATTTGGTAGTCAAAAAAAGTATATGTTGTTCGATGCATATTGGGCATAAATTAATAAGAATATTTGCGCCTTTGCCCAATTTTTTTAAGAAAGTTATTTTCTGGAAAAAAACAGTATAGAGTGCTTAGGAAAAAATCTAGTAATTAAAAACTCTCATCACTATAAAAAGTAACCAACTAGTGACAAAATTGCATTGTATTTTGTTGCTAATTCATTGTAACACCTTACTTTGCGGACCTAGATAAGAACATATTATCGTTATCTACCGTCGGAACCATAATCTAAAAAGGTTAAATTTTTAAAATCTTTTATATAACTCGCAACTCGGTACTCCGCTCTTGTAATGAATAGGATATTCTGAAAAAAAATTTAATTATACTTATAATTTCTTATTTTCTAACTTCTTCAACGATTCACATCTCACAACTTTATTTCTTGAAATTTTATGGGGTAAAGGTACAATTTTACCCTTAATCTTATTTTAAGTGACACAACATTCTGATCTTTTTAGGGGTACAATTTTATTCATGATCTTTTTTTAGTGCCCTCAAAAATCAGGGATACAGTTCACCAAAAAAATTATGGGTACAATTGTGCTACTAAAAAGATTGGGTTGTTAAGTGCCCTTGAAAAATAAGATTATCAGTAAAATAGTACATTTACCCGCAATTTTATGCCATAAATTAAAACTCGGATTCATACAATTATAGCTTTAACAATATCATAGACACACACTACTAGGAAATTCCAACTATGTTCAATTTATCCTCCCATGCCTTCCTCCTTATATATGGAGACACATGTAATCATATCAATAAAGTCTACATACTCCATGAAAAGAAAATGTAAACATGACATGGATCACAAAAAGAGAACATAGCACAAAATATATTAATTTATCATATTGTTTATCTAAGTAAAAAAATTCTTCACTTCCACCTAAGCTGTGCTCCCACCAACTTCACTTTACCCTTGGATGAGATGGGCCATGTGGTTACATAGAAGAAAAAGGTGAGATTATGAAGTAACTATATTCCATATATTATGAATGGTAAAAATTGAGCATACAAAATAAGCCATTAAGAACAACATCTCGCATATAACTAAACTAAATTATAAATAACTTATCAACTGCATAACTATAATTGAGTAGTTGAGCATATGCATAACCAAATAACTAGCTAAATTGAATCACACATATATGTAATCAAATAAAACTGTAGCACAAGCACTCTTAAAAATAAAATGCCTGTATTATGACAGATTGTATCAACAAAACTGCATCAACAATTCTAACCACTTGACATCAACCAAGATATGTTACTCGCATCAATGATTTAGTTAGCCTAGCATCAATCAAGGTTAATCACATCAACTTAGCATCAACG